TTTGAGCGAATTGCTGCTGAAGCATCACGTTTGGCGCATTACAATAAACGATCAACTATTACTTCTCGGGAAATCCAAACTGCTGTTAGGCTTTTGCTACCTGGAGAATTGGCTAAACACGCTGTGAGTGAAGGTACTAAGGCTGTCACCAAATACACCAGCTCTAAGTAAATTATCTGAGGACAACGGCCCTTATCAGGGCCACAAATTTCTTTATAACGTTTGACATTCTTGCACTATAAACATTTCTAAAATATATAAACTTGCAAAATTACCCATTGTAAAAATTTTTGTATAGTTTCGTCTTCAAGTGTACCATTTTTTTGCTACGTTATTTTAAGTATGTCACAGTTACATGAACATGTACTTTCTCAAGTAAAAACGCAAATGCAGATGAACAAGAAGCATGGCATGATATTACAAGTAAACTATATCTACTTCTGATGCTAAATTTTTCAAATTTGCTAAATAAAAACAATTTCTTATTCATAATAATTAATCAATTTAATATTTCAAATATTCTTCCACATTGTCAAATAAATGAGTATTATTTCATACTAAAATTAAAAATATTTTTTAATAGGCTCTTCATTAAATAAAATTAAAAACTAATATACAAAGCTAACATAGAGCCGAGCAGGAACTTTATGCTCAAGATTTATTATTTATAATAATGTAAGCCAATAACACATACGTTTCGGCCTTGGTTTAGGCCATCTTCAGTGTGAAGAGAACGCAATTAATAAAATAATCTTTTAGCGCAATCGCAAATTATACATATTAAAGTACATGAGTGCAATCGAATGCCGTAAACATCATAAGGCAGGTAGACGTTGTTTGTAAAACAGAAATAGCTGTTTAACCGAAGAGAAATTCTTATACATTATTAAAACCTCAGAAATTATTAGTCAAAGTATAAAGAATTATTCATGCCATTACGTAGCCCTGAGACTGTTTTGGCTTACATTATTTCATACATTGTGCCATACACGACCAATACGACATCTAGTATGACTATTTGACCTCATTTTGTGAGGTTATAAAAAATTATAAAAACATCTATTTGCTATTATTTTCACACCGTGATGTGTATTCACATACCGAAAATGTATGAAGTATTATACTCTATTAGTTAATAAAAAATTTTTAATAATTTAAGTGCAAATATGGTGATAAATACGAACAATTGTGTTAAGTGGGCATGCATTTAATTTTCGTTTTTCTAACCATAACCGTAGTAAATAATTTTTTACAAGTTAATTACTCGCGAACACGCGTTATTAAATAATTCATAAACATATATTTGCATAAGTTTTAAAAATGTTGAGACGACGACATGTTAATGTCAAGACAGTAAAAGAATTTGATGCATTTCCCAAAGTTCCTGAGTTATATGTCGACAAAACTGCAGTCGGAGGAACATGTAAGCTAATAAATATTGGCAACGTTTTGACATTGAAAATGCGCGCACGCATTTTTATTAATGAATTAATATTTTTGTTTATTTCAGTTTCTGTTTTTACAATTCTCATTATTGCATACTTGATAATAGCAGAAACAAGCTATTTTCTTGACAGCAGATTGCAATTCAAGTTTGAACCAGATACAGAAATTGATGAAAAGTTGCAAATTAATATCGACATAACAGTGGCGATGCCATGTGGTCGTACTGGTGCTGATGTTTTAGATTCTACAAATCAAAATATGATAGGTTCTTTGGAAGAAGAGGATACATGGTGGGAATTAACATCAGAGCAAAGAGCACATTTTGAAGCTTTGAAGCATATGAATTCATATCTAAGAGAAGAGTATCATGCTATTCATGAATTACTTTGGAAATCCAATCAAATTACTCTTTACAGTGAGATGCCAAAGCGGTATGCACACTCTCGCTTCTAATTCTGTTATGTTATTTCTCAAAAATTGTACGTATATGTGCAAGAGTATAATCTTTTATGTGTTTAGATTGCACAATCCGGATTATGCCCCAAATGCTTGTCGCATTTATGGTAGTTTGAATGTGAATAAAGTAGCAGGAAATTTTCACATCACTGCTGGAAAATCATTATCTTTGCCACAAGGCCACATACATATTTCTACATTTATGACTGATCGAGATTATAACTTTACTCACAGAATCAATAGATTTTCTTTTGGTGGACCTAGTCCAGGTATTGTGCATCCTCTTGAAGGTGATGAAAAAGTTGCAGACAATAGTAAGTTTTTTTAATTGTAAGATATTGAATTTTGTGCTCTTAAAGCGAGCGGTACAACCATTTTTACAATTGGTCGTTTTTCTTTCAGACATGATGCTGTATCAGTATTTCATTGAAGTTGTTCCTACAGATATTAGGACATTGTTAAGTACGTCGAGAACATACCAATACAGTGTCAAAGACCATCAAAGGCCGATTGATCACCACAAAGGATCTCATGGAGTACCAGGAATCTTTTTCAAATATGATATGAGTGCACTTAAGATAAAAGTAACTCAAGAACGTGATACAATTTTTCAGTTTTTAGTGAAACTGTGTGCCACTGTGGGTGGCATTTTTGTTACAAGTGGTAAATATACTTCTTTTAGATAACAGTAATATGAAACAATAAGTACTAATGTGGAATATTTATCGAATAACATAAATTTGCAGGCTTAATTAAAAATATTGTACAAAGTTTTTGGTACATTACGTGCTGCAAGTTTTTAAATTCTGGAGAAAAGACAGATGATTGTAAACTATCTGTCCCATCACATTCCATGAATTATCAGGCGCCCGATACAATAAATTTACTCGATGTTGCAGCCCCTCAAAATATTAATATTATGTTGAAGCCTCAATAAATTATTGTGAGTTAATATTCGCAATGCAAATGTGAGAAGCGTGGAAATAATATAATAATAATTATTATTATATGATGCTGTGTACATTCAAGGATACATATACTTGTTATATATACACACATTTTATTATTGGGTGTGTGTAAAAGTTCTCCATCCATTTTTAAAAGAATAAATAAAAAATTTGAAAACTTATTTACATTTAATCAATGATGTATTTTGTGACATCGTTGTTAAGGACTTTGTCATCGGGTAACATTTTAATACTTCTGAAAATTTAGCGTTTTTTAAATAAGTTCTTAAGAATTTCTAATCTTTTCCATATTTTAAAATTCTTTGCCTGTAAGATGTTTTTGCAGGAAATAGAATAAATGAAAATGTGTAAGCACGAGATCGGATGAATATGGGATGGATAAATTAAAACTTTCTACTCAATTTTAAAAGTTTATTTGATTTGGATTGTCGTGATAGAAGATATCGCCATTCTCTATATTAGACATACAATTGGATCATTTCCTTGTGCATATGCTTACGTGCCTATGCAAGTGATGGCTATACCCTTAAGCCCGTATCACACTGGAGATTAGCACCGCTTTGGAGATAAAAATTGAAGATTGTCCAATCACGTTAGCAGTGTTCTTAAACTACTTCGTTCTGATTGGTCAAATTCCAATCTTTAATTCGTAATTTTAATCTTCAATGATACGGGCTTTAGAACTTGCTACATTTGTATAGTTACTCATCGCATCTAGATATTCGTTTACCATGACTGTCAGTTGTTATACCCAGTTATTGCGGTTTGTTGTACAAACTATTTTTTTTAAGCAATTTCAACGTATAATCGAAATAATCTTTCGTTATTTGCTTGTACGATTGGATACTCTGTAAAATTATTTTATCTCAATTGTTTGAAAATGCCAACAAATGTGATAGCATTTGTGAAAATTTGCAATTGTGGATAGATTGTGCCAAAAGTGCATCAACCGGTTTTTGAATTTTTGTTAAATGAGAATATATTTGTGAGAATAATACAACAAATCTCATCTTGTACGCAATGACTACCTTAAGCGGTTTTATAGAATTCTTCCAGAAAGGAAAGGTAAATCGATAGTTATTAATTTATAATTGGATTTTGTAATAAACTAACCTGAAATTTTTGTTTGCAATTTGTAATAATCTATATATTGTAACTATTGTATCTTTATATGATATTCTCGATATATAATGTATTTTATAAAATATATTCTAAAAATTCAACAAAATTATTTATTTTTTCACTTACATCTTATAATTATTAGAAAATAGTATGGAAATTTACATATAACACTACATTGTATTGTAATTGCAGACATTTAGGCCAAAGAAAAAGTTTGCTCATGGAACATTACGTTATTCTTTGTATAAGCAAGCTCAAGCTTCTCTTAATTCTGGCATCAATTTAAGAGCTGTTGTCAAATTACCTCCTGGAGAAGATATGAATGATTGGATTGCTGTTCATGGTACAAAAAATATTTAATAGTAAAGTAAAAATTAGTTGGTGTATTAAAATATTATGAAAAATGCTTTAATATGTATCTTTTTACAGGAATATGTGTATTATTTTCATATCATTTACATTACATCTAATATCCAAATTACATTATATCTAAAAGTAATAATTCCTAAATGCTTTAGCTCCAAATTTTAGTAAAAACCTGTTTTATCTACATTGAAAGAATAATGTAATAATTATTTATTTTTTCCTTTTTTAGTTTAGTGGACTTTTTTAACAGAATAAATCTCATATATGGTACAGTATCCGAATACTGTGATTCCGCATCTTGTCCAACAATGAGCGGTGGAGCTCGTTTTGAATATTTATGGGCAGATGGTGAGAAATATAAAAAGCCGACAGCACTACCAGCACCACAATATGTTGCTCTTCTTATGGATTGGATTGAAGCTCAAATTAATAATGAAACAGTTTTTCCAGTGTCAACAGGTTACTACATCTATTTTACATTTACAATATTGTTTAATATGAAATAACCTTTGTATCAGGATATATAGAATATTTTATTGCAGATGTGCCATTCCCTAAAACATTTATACCATTATGTAGAAAAATCTTAACACGCCTCTTCCGAGTTTTTGTTCATGTATACATTCATCATTTTGATCGGATTGTAGCAATAGGTGCGGTAAGTACAATCAATTATATTATTGTTAACACATTTTGTGTTGATGACGTAAAAATACGTTTATACGTCATATGTAAGTGGCAGATTGTGTTAATATTTTACTGTTTTAAAGATTTTTGACCAAATATGTTATTGTTTTAGGAAGCACATGTGAATACGTGTTACAAGCATTTCTATTATTTTGTAACAGAGTTTGATTTAATTAATTCTAAAGAGCTAGAACCATTAGCTGAAATGACTGCTAAAGTCTGTAAAGATAGTGTTTCCCCTATCCAAACAGTGCCATCAACTAATCAAGGCAGATAGTTATTTCATAATCATGTTTTACCAAACTAATAATTACAGTTTACAATAACATAGTAAAATTTCTAATAATATAGGCTTAAGTAACATAAAAAAATGCTGTTTGTGATATTTTTGCATCATTTTTGTGAATATAATTTGCATGACATGTTAACAAATGTGTTCAAAATAGTTTAGAATATGATCTGTTTTTTTATTAATTTCTCATAAGAATGTTTCTTGGTAGAAATAATATATAAGAGTAATAGACTAAAAGTAATTTTGTATAAATTCTCTTTACAGTATGTACATGAAATACAACTTTTGATTCATTTTCTTGCTTTTAATTTATAAATAATATTTAATGCAACATAGAATATAATATTATCTTTAAATGTGACACAATTGTGTCACTTAAATATGTAACTTTAAAGAAGCAGTCATATACATGTATTTTACTTTTGCAAAACTTATATTTTGATATATTCTAATGCTTAGAAATGATAATCATAGGTGCCATATTTAATAAGTTGATACGTATAATAGCTTATTTAGATTATTTAAATCCCCTTCTCTTCATCAAAATAAGCAGAATCTTTACAATATTTTTTTATTGAGCTATTAATTTTTAGAGAAAATGTTTTGTCGAACCTCAAAAATACTTCTTGAAAGTTTCTTCTAGTCTTCTAACTTAGTGTCTTCCTTATATAAAGTAATATAAAGTAAGACATTGTCCTAGATAATTATAATATTAATTATTCAATTTATATCATTTTCCATATAAATCTTATTCAACTACTACGTACACATATGTACGTACTACTATGTACACATAAATAAACAAAAGGCAAATAAAAGAAAAATTGCAGTGCTAACTTAACAATTAGTCTTTCAATATTTCTGCTGCTTTCACATTGAAATATAAAACTCATTTAAAAAATTCTGTGTATATCATGTATAAAACTTGCCACTTTATTTATCGCTATTATTAAATATATATTTTGGTGTAATGTTATTACATATTTTAAACAGGAGAATATTCTCGCGTAGAACGGGCAAGTAAGCATTATTTAAAATTTTTATTAATATATAATAATCACAATTTTCTTCTACAAATACTAAAATATATATTTTAAAACTCTAATACTTTTGTTTACTAAATCTATTTACATAATAAATTCACCATTAATAATGAGTTTGAGTTCACAAATTACTAACTCTAATTAATGTAAGTTTATTCTGAAAAAAATTTTATTTATTTATACCAAAGTTTACTCTGGTTATACTAAATAAATAATAAATAGTAATCAATATAATTTTTTATATTAAGTATTAATATATAAATAGACAAGTGTAAATATTTTGTAATTTTGATATCTAAGTACAGACATGTAAAATGTAATCATTCTTTCGCAAGCTTTACCATATTTACATTTTAATTTGTTTTGTTAGTAACTATTTTATCTTTAATAATCTTTAGATTTTAACTTGAATAATCTTCATCGGCCAGTAGCCAACTGTTACATCATATTAAACTTTTGCTGAAATGCATGTCTGTACTTTCAGTTCGCGTTTTTATATATTTAAAGTAGTCTAAAATTATCATAGTACTATCCGTGTCATATTGATCGAAATATTTTATTTCTTTCATCTTTACTACTGAAGAATTAATGGAAACATATCAAAACGTATTCTGTGTGTATTATGTGAATAAAAATATATTACCACTCATTTATTTCTTACATATATCAGGCAGATTCGATAAAAATTGCTTTTGAATTGAAGTTATTTTTATTTTCCTTGTTACTAAACTAATCATATTAATTATGCATTAAGTTTAATATTCATTAAGAATTATAAGTGTATGATATAAATTATATTAATTTGAAATAAAATGAGAATCATGTGTAAGATTGAACTTTGTCATATAATTTATCGTATATTGTACAACATAGTTCTAAATTTATATAAAAATAAATTCAAAATAAAAAATACATTACTACATCTAATATTATTAATTAAAATTAACAATTCTATAAGCTTGCATTTCATATTTAATATTTTTTTAAATTAAATATGGTTAATTTAATTAATATTAAGGGACTATCCAGAGAATGTTTTCGACCGTGTTTATTTCGTCAGACAATATACATCACGAACATTTTTTTCGTAAATGTATGGCAAAATAAAACTACAATCTCATATGGAGGAAGATACAATTTTTATATTGTTATACAAGAAAACAGTTGAATCAACAATGAAATATTATCAACTTACATAGATATTTTATCAGAATTGGGGCAGACATATGCGTATCGTAGTTTTATTTTATTTCTAATTGCTATGCTAAAGATTTATTAATAATTAAAGATGGTTACACCCTGAGCCAATACATAGAATTACGGATATTGTTGTAATCTGGTAAATTTTCAACAGGTCCAACTGCTGCGATCACTGGGCAATGATCAAAAATGTATTTCATACCAACATTTTGAATAGTTTCAGCAGTTATGCTCTGAAAAATAAATTATGTAATTATGTAATTATGTATTGATGTATTATGCATGTGTCTGCATATATTTTGGATACGTGATATGATACAAATACTATGCATATAAACAATAGTCAACTAAATATTTAATTGTATAGAAAAATTTCATCATAAAAACAATCTTTGGAAGATTTTAATGCATATAATTGAAGCTACATACGTCTATCCTCGCCTCAAGCTCGTGTAGTGGTATACGACGATTGTAACATAACATTTGACGGCCAATATCTTCACAAACAGCGGTAGTGCCATCCAATTGCAAGAACATGTTAGTTTTGAGGATATTCTTTGCACGTGCTACTTCTTTCTCGGTGACTGATGTACACAGCTTCATCCATTCATGTTGAATATTCGCTGTCATATCATCGCATTGCATGGGATCACAAACAAAATATATACCCCAAAGTCCTGTATCCTGTAAGAAATTAAAGAATAACATGTACTTGTTCAAAAACTTGTATACTGAATGTAAATGTGCAATAATATTCATTTCATGTATACCTTGTAACATGTGTTGAAACTCTGATAACTATGACATAAGCTATCCTCTGCGCAAGCCTTAGCTAAACCGCTAGCATTATTCACACCTCCTCCTTGACTACGGTCCCATGCTCCGATAAGAGTATTTGCCACCATGAGAGGAATGTTGTCTGCCTCGGCCCATCCAGCGCCTTTAGCCAAATATTTCATCGATTACTGCTTCGTTGTTACAATTCATCTTGTATGATTGTTTTCAAATACCTTCGACAGCAATTGCGATATGAGCGAGAGGAATCGTATCGTCGCGAACTCTTATTTCAGAACCGGTATACCGACAAGATTTGATATACTCCGGAATTTCATCATATTGCGGTCCTTTTATTTGACCAAAATGCTTGTTGGCAAGTTCAATTAATTGACTGTGATCAACACCACCAGCGCCAGCTAGTACAAATCTGAGATAAGAAATTGACATTAAAATTTTTTAGACTGGTATTTAATTTTAGCTGTGTATCAAACTCGATCAACAATTGACTAAAATATTACCTAGATGGTCCATAATGAGTTTTTACATATTTAACAAGATCATCCCGTGAAATATTTTTGATATTCTTAGTGGGCCCCAATATCGTGCGTCCCAAAGATGTACCTTGATAGGCAGCACCATGCAAGTGATCGAATACAACTTCTTGTAAATTTGTTTCAACCTCCTGCATTTCGCGTAAGATGACACCACGTTCCCTTTCAATCTCATTTTCGCCCAATTTAGAATTCTTAATAATATCACTGAGAATCTCAATAGCTTTTGGTACATCTTGCGACAAACATTTTGCATAAAATACCGTTTGTTCTCGACTCGTGTAAGCATTCAAATGAGCCCCCATATTTTCGATTTCTAACTCTAAATCAGTTTGAGAACGTTTGGCAGTTCCCTGTAAAAGAAAAAAGTGTATTAGTGAAGTGTAATAAAATATATAGCAATAAATATGATACACGTTAAAATATGAATACTTTGTCTTATTTAGGCAAATTGTTGTACAGAAAATTGTATCTTGCCACTTCAAAATATATACCTAATTATTATTACTAAATTAATTATACCTTAAACGCCATGTGCTCCATAAAATGGGCAACACCATTGTTTTCATCGGTTTCATATCGACTACCAGAATCAATCCAAAGACCAACTGTAGCTGTCGCAGCTCCACTGTCTTCGCTGGCAACTCTCATTCCACTATCCAAAGTTGTAACTCTCGTGGCTGGTTGATTGATAAGCGCTTCTTTTAAAGAAGCAGCAGTCGACTGCCATTGTTTTGGTACCTGTAGGTGTTAACAATCTAAATAATATTTTTAATTGAAAAGATGATAAGCAACAATTTATTATCAATATTCAATTTGTTATAACAAAGTCAAGTTTTAAGCACATAAGATTTGTCGATACATCTGAATTTTTACTATGTACTCAGTTGAGTGACATATAAATTAGGCTACCCAAGTAATCGGGTATTACCTGGGCATCCAGTTCTAAATGACATCATTAATATAAATCTTAAATTTCTTTGAATATTACTTATTACATTATCACTCTCAAATAATAATAAAATACGCATATATATTAGAATAAATAATATGACACGTTCAAAACCAAATGCACCTGTCAAAAGCGTAATAAGACGGTCAAATACCAAAGCCAGCACTAGCATTTTGAGGTTAGAAATAGAAGCAAGTACTTCAAGATTCGAGCTTTCTTATTTTATTGCCTTATCTCTAACAACTTAAACTATTAAATGTCATTTTTCCATATTATTTGATCTGAAACAATTATTTTACTCTTATTACGTAAGGCGCCTACGACACAGGTGACAAATTTTGTTCCCAACTCGAACGAAATTGTGAATTAATCGGCTTTCAAGTTAAAATCACGATACAATATCCACTATACAATCACTGCAGCATGGTGAATTGCAATCGGTTTTACCTTTACAAGACTGGTTTTATTAGTATACGAGCGCAGTGCGCTGCTAATTTTTAGCAGACGAGTAGCCATCTTTTCAATTTATCGAGTAGAGCTGACGAAACGATAGAACACGGCCAAACAGGAGAAGTTGCGAAGAATCGGTAAGAGCAAGATAGCTCTGTACCATAGAACTATGTACTCAGTGTAGAGTGAAAACCATTTATTCTACGCAAGATGAGAATCAGCCTGAAAGTTCTTTGCACTAAAAGATGATTGGCTATTGGTCGACTTTCCTAAGCATTATGCGATTGTGCTCTTAACGTTTTATAGCTTTGCGGTTCTATATGGATTTTGTAGCCAAAGCTCAAATACACGTAATGAGTTTCGGTTTCGGCTCGTTCTTCGTGGAGTCGCCATATTTTATAGAACGAACGAGAAGCAAGATCACGCCATTGTGCGCATCGCGTCCTTTTATATTTCGTCAGTTCGTTAAGTGTTGCTGGCAAATATTACAAGCTACAGCGTTTCTCGCTAACGTTTTAAGTGTTTGTTAAGAGTTTGTGATTATCCAGAAGTAACGAATCATCGCAACGGGTAACGTTTATTCATCAACGCTATGGCATTCGCACGCTCATGATCGCGGCGCAAATTCCGCATTGTAACATTGTCGAAATATTCGTTGTAAATCGGATACGTTTTTCTTGAGATACAGCCAATGAATTATTTGTGTTTAGAATAATCAATATTTTATAATTTGCTATAGATTTCTTGTTCTTCCTAATGTAATATCGCATTATAGGCGTATTATAAAATGCATTACTGTCATGGTGTATATAAATGCTACTGCATAGAATCGATTTTCTGTTTTTTTTCCTTTTTTTATTTTTTGGCCAGTTATCTCTGTTAAAATTTTCAAACAAAGAATCTGAATCTTTTTCAAATCTTTGAAGAACAGTTAAATATTTGTATGTTTTTATTTGAGCTAGCACTCAATATATCAACATATGTTTCTATAGTGTTTATATTCCACGAATAATGTTATCATTATGTATAAACATTTTCAAATTTTGTTTTTAAACTAGAATGATTTTAAAAAAATTCAAGTATGAGCACTACAGATACATTCTGGATCAGATATTTCAGAGTTCAATACAATTGGATAAAAAAATATATTATTAAAATTTAATTTATCAGAGGTAGAAAATATTCCATATAATATAGATTAACCATGTAACTGTAAACATGTGAATAATGTATAAGAAATATAAATAATTTACTGTTTTATCTGCAAATTAGAATACTTTAAATAAGTTTTATAAGAATGTTTAAATATATATAGTCAAAGATATAAATGCATATATATAATATTAATTATTCAAAATATTAAAGATCTACATATCATATATGCAAATAGAAATGGATTTTTTTTCCGATTGGAGAAAATGTGAAGAGATAAAAATTAATTTGTCTTTTTCAGGAGTGAAATAGATGTACAAACAACATGTACAGTAATAACATTGACCCTTGGGAGCCTGGCTACGGGCCGGAAAGAAGAAATCACAATTCTGACTATGACTATCGAAGTGATTATGGAAGCAATAGATCGCCCGAGTATTCAGAGCATCGTGATGTAGATCATCGTGATAGAGATCATCGTAGTCCAGATTACAGAAATCATCGTGGAAGAGACAGAGATCGTGAAAGAGATCGCTCGAGGGATAGGAGAGATCGTAGTAGAGACGACCGTGATCGCAATTACAGGGATCGCGAAGATCGTTACGGAAGACAAAGGGATAGAGACTCTGTAGAAAGGGACAGGGACAGAGATAGGGACAGGGATAGAGAAAGAGACCGCTCCAGACGTGACAGGGATCGGGATAGGGATAGGGATCGTAGGGGGAAACGGGATGATCGGGATCGTGATCGCGATGATGATCATAGTCGGGAAAGTTTGGACTTTGAGCACGACCATGGTCGTGCTTATAGCTCATCCATGGAAGGAATCCACTACAAATCGCAATCGCCCAACAACACCATAATGATACGTGGGCTCGCTCAACATATTACTGAAAATGACGTAGGTTGTCAACTTTGTGGCCTCACATATAGTGGCCACTCGTGAGCCAGTGTTATCGAATATGGCATCACTGTTATTATTCTGATGTGTGTATCACAGGTGCGGCAAGATATCCTCAATTGTGGTCTAATGCCCAAGGACATCAGGCTTATACGAAAAAAAGATACAGGTAATTATTAAGCTATTAAAAATCTTACTGTTAGCATCATAGTGATTTTTTCATGTGTATCAGTTGGACTGTTACTTGTGAGATTTTTGCGTATCATCAGATTTGTACAAATCATTTAATTTTTGCCGGATCGCGAACGAACGGAACATGTAAGAAATTCTTCGGAATGCGTAATACATTTTTCGGTATAAATGTTTAACAATCGTATTGTACGAGAAACTCCAAAGAATTTCTTACAATTTATTTACTTTTAAGAGCTTTTATTTTTGACATTTCGGTACCAATCATACATTTTCCAAAATTCGGTTCTCATTAGTTTTGACTGTCGATTGATAATTTATTCTTGGTGAAAGGTAAGTTTACAAGAAAAACGCGAGAGAAATTTTTTAAGAACATTGGGTTGCTTGCTGGTATAAAAAATATAGCTGTATAAAAACTTTGAGTTTACTCAAGAATATATATAATTTAAAAAATTTTTAAATTTTATCCACCAATCTCAAAATCAAATGTTTTCATAACAAATTCTTACAAGTAGATTACAAGTAGAATAATATACTTATTTGTATTTGTAAGATGATACAACAACTGATCCTCGGGTTAGGTTACTCTTGTGTTTTACTTGCAGATGTTGCATATGTGAAGACATTATTTTAATAGTAATACGATTATTTTTTTCTTTTATTTTTTTTTGTGATGCGTAGTCTTGAAGAAAATTCAAGAATATAAGTATAGAGTGCCTGTTAAATAATTTTTCAAGGATTTACTCTTGAGGCGTTCTCTTGCTTTGTCAATTCTAATACTTAATATTTCCGATGAAATATTAAGTATTAGAATTTCATCGGAAATATTAAGCAATCTTGTATCATTGTTAAGACAATGTCTTTCTCGTTGATCTTCAAGTCGATCCGCTAGATTACGGTGTAAAGACACGATTAATACATATACAACCGTGACCGCGCGGGATCGGTTTTTGTTAACGGTGAAAGTCCCTCATATATCGTTCTCGTCTGTTTGCGTAGTAGAAGGGTAATAAAAGAAGAACGAGAAATTTTGTCTCGACTGTAGGTTCGGCGTTTGAAAAAATTCCGTAACGTTAAATTACAATAGATATATCGTTCGCAAACATATCGGTGTACTGCCGGTCTCTCTCGCACGGAAATTCGTTCTGCTGAGATTTAGGTAAATGGAAAATGAAAGCAAGCGACGAAGCGAAGAGACACTTCGTTTGAAACTCGATCAGTCAATGGTTGGTGCTGTGATTGCCTGCCCTCTCAGAGTAGAGACCCCCAGGCAAAAACGTGGATTAACTCTGGATATGTGTGTATTTGCTCTGTATAGGTGCTTCGCGAGGTTTTGCATTCGTCGAGTTTAACGCGACTCAGGAGGCCGCACGGTGGATGGAGATGAAACAGGTAGAAAGAAGTCCAGATACCCATCCGATGCGTTGTTGCACGCGTGCCACCGACTGCCCCGTGGCGGCAAGGCACGGTAACGCAGCCCTCTGGCCCTCCCCGTGGCCACGGCTGTGCACATATCCAAATTATTTTCAATATACCATATTCTAATTATTTATCTAGGAATCTCCCCACATATTTTTGCAGACTTTTCTTAACTCGCTCTCGCAATACTCGCGCAATATTGGATTAAGTTTGCGATTCACTGAGATTCCGCCGCGCCGCGTGCTTTTACCTGTCCTCTGTCTATCATAAAAGTTCGTGGACTAACAATGAAGATCGGAGGAGGGTCATTCCAGTCGTTCCCATTTACATATCGTTTTGGTTTACGTATTTGTATTCGGCATGACAGTTCATTTCCAAGAATTTTGCTATTCCGCGTCATACGCTTCTCTATTATACTACTTACGTCTTTGCTTCTTCTGTTTCGCTTTGATTCTTGATGCGATTATTAACTAATTATGACATTCAAAGTCTCTCCGGAGATTATGCACGTAATTTTTTTTTTTTTTCCCCCACTTGAGAATTCACGCGCAAGCAATCGTCATTGCTTGCCTGTCCTTTTTATTTATTTATTTTTTTTTTATCTTACGGAAGTTACGATTAAAGTCGCGCATGAATAAATCGGTCCGCAAGCGGTGTGGAATGGCCCGCGTTAATAAGCCCGTGAGGCTTTGTTCACTGTTCGCTCAGTTCGAAACAGAAAGCTATGAAGTAGAAAACTATAATTTCGTCAACCAAGAAGGAAGTTTACGGGAAAAACAAGAGGCCTTAGGAAGACGTTGGACGGGATAACACTAAAATTCTCTGTTTCAGGGAGTGCTGATGCTGCAGGACCAATACCGCGCATTGATGCAATACAGTATACCGAAAGAATGCCATGTGGATAAACCACCGGCGAAAAATACGCAGGATTGGCATTGCGTGAAGGTTGGTATCGAGGTTTCATCTTTCGTAGAATTTCGTAGAATTTCGTAAAATGTAAAAAGTACACGAATAATGCTAATATACGTGCCAATCTGTCTTTTCTAGTGCGGAGCGCATAATTTCAAACGGCGCGAGACCTGCTTCAAGTGTTCCGCTTCGCGCGCGGAAAGCGAGGAAGGCGGAGAGGGTAGCGACGAAATCAGCCCGCATCCCACCAACACCGTACTCTTACGCGGATTAGATGTATTAACGACCGAGGACTCGGTTCTGCAAGCGATGAAGAATCTGTCGTCGATGCCGATACGCAGCATTCGCATCGGCCGCGATTCCCTCACGAATACGTCCAGAGGCGTGTGCTACCTGGAGATGGGCAACGTGGTGGACGCGATGTACTTGCACACCGCGCTTACGAAGCAGGGATTGGTGGTCGACGGCAGAAAGGTGGAAATAACGTACTGTAAGCTTCATCAGATCAACAATGCGAACGCGTGGAAGTCGAACGACACTCAGCCGCAGAGGTACACGTTGGACGACGTTGCTCAATTGGCTGAGTACAGTGCCAATTTGTATGCCAAGACGCCTGCACAGAAGGCCCATTATCTTCAGTATTACACGCAGTACTATCAGAATCAGATAATGCAAGGCTCGGCGATCACGTTGCCGTCCCTGAATCAGACCGATCGGGTGAATGCGGCCGCGGCGGTGGCGCAGTCCGCCATACAGCAGCTGCAGGCGTCCAGGAAGCTAGGAGGCGAAACGGACGACATGAAGGGACGACCGACGCCTACAGCACCGTCCAGCACAGCGTTAGCGAGTGGACGGGTTCCCGCGCACTCTAGCGATGGAAAAGTGTACTGTAAGTCTCCAGAAAATTTCCTGACTATTTTCAATCTGCTTTAGATCATTTAGAATGCTCCAACTATCGTGACGATTGTAATTTCAGCTGTACCGGATGTCAGCACTTATCACTATGACGAATCATCCGGCTACTATTATGATCCTAGCACGGGATTATATTACGATCCAAATTCGCAATATTATTACAATAGTCACACGCAGCAGTTTCTTTATTGGGACAGCGAGTCGTTCTCTTATCAACCGGCCAAGGTAATAAAAAAACTAACAAAAAAGATCGTATGTCGTAAAATTGCTTTAAAGATGCTAATGCGATACTAAACGTTCGCGTTCTCTCATTTATAGACTACTGCGAGTACGACGCAAGGAGCTACGAGCACGGTAACAGCGACTGCAAGCAGCGCGGATTCCGCAAACACAATCAGTTCGACTGCGACTTTGTCGGCCGCTAATGCGGCTCAGGATGCGTCGAAGGAGGACGACGGTAAAAAGAAGGACAGCAAGCAAGACAAAGTAAAAGTGGCGAAGAAAATAGCGAAAGACATGGAACGCTGGGCGAAAACACTGAATCAAAAGAAGGAGAACGCGAAAAGTAATTGGAATTCTGAGTTTGCCGGAGCGGACGGCAATCAAGGTGTCGGTGGTGGCGCTGCGGACGCGGGATACGCCATCCTGGAGAAGAAAACTATCGCGAATCCTTATCACGAGGACGAGGATCAGAGCGGTAACGGTCTGGTAGCCGCCTATGGCGGTGGTAGCGATACAGAGGAGGAAATAGAGGATGTGCAACAGGAAGAGAAGCAACATACAGATTGGAGCAAACTGGCGTGTCTTCTCTGCAAACGGCAATTCCCGAGCAAAGAGGCGCTACTCCGACACCAACAGTTATCCGATCTCCACAAACAGAATTTGGAGAACTGGTATCAGGTGCGCGGCCTGGATCCTAACGATCCGCAGCAAAGGAACAACAAATACAGAGATCGCGCCAAGGAAAGAAGAGCCAAGTACGGCGAACCCGAACCACCGCAGCCCAATAAGTTGAAAGAGAAATACTTGAAGACAAGAGTGGACGAGATGTCTGTATCTTACGAGGAGCCTACGCGAGCCGGCATCGGTTCCGACAACGTGGGTAATAAATTACTGCAGAAAATGGGCTGGAGCGAAGGTATGGGCTTAGGGAAATCTAATCAAGGTAGAACGAGCATTATTGAAGCCGAAAGACGTGTCCCTACGGCTGGTTTAGGTGCGAAGACTTCGTCGTACAACACCTTACCGGGTGACACGTACAAGGATTGCGTAAAGAAGATGATGTACGCACGATATCAAGAACTGTCCGACACGTAATACGTAGGATTTCGTTAAAATAAATTTTATATATAAATACATACACATACACACGTCACATATAAGTACTCCATTTTCCATAGACACGTAATTACACGCTCGTATCGTTATCATCTGAATACCGTAATAGCTACTTATTGATAACTGCATGGTGATAGCTAATTCTTGGAGTTGTGCGCATACCCCATGCGATACGCATTTCATACACTCGTGCGAAATTCTGTTTTCGCGCGCTTCAAGATAATAGCATTCTGTGTACAAGAGTCCCTTTTTTTTATTATAATACAATATAGAGAAATACTGTCAAAATGCACATATGCTATTTTCTAATTTTATTTACATAACGGCAATGACACTTGCAAAAACACAACAGAAAAGTATAAGTAACTTTTTAATTACATTCTTTCTGGCTTTTTCAGGAGTACATTTTCGGCACAGAAATAATTATTCTGTTAACACACAGATAAATGTTGTATCATTGTGCAATGCAATAATGTTTGGTCAGGAATAAATTATGTACAGTTAAGTATCACTAGTAAAGTTGATGGCAAACAAATCCAATCGTGTCGAAAAATTCTTATTATGCAATACTGAATTCAACACATTGCAGGTTAAATTGTGGAATATATTCAGTGACTTAACAAGCGGATTGTGTATGTTTAGCTTGTCACGCGTAAACATACACATTGTAATTGTAGAAATTATATTTCGATAATTTTTTTATAATTATGGGAATTTTTCTAATTACTTGAAATGATTAATATAAATATTTTCATATTTAATATATGAAAATATATATATTAATTTTAATATGATAAATTATGGTTTATAATTATGCAACACGATTTTATAATTATAAAATTAATATAATTTAGTTACTAATAATTGTATTTTTTTTATTTTTTACTGAGTACACTTTGTATTTATTACATCACAAAAATTGAAAATTTCACATTTAGTTTAATTAAATCAAGTTGGGTGTAAAGATCTAAATATAATTACATTTACACACACACACACACACACACACACACACATATATATTTTTTTAATTACGATTTTGCCATGTTTTAAAAATCATGTGCATTACACTTGTCATTATGCATACAAATTTCAAACATTCTTACAATTTACTATTAATTTTTAATTAAAGTTTTAAAGTCAGCATGCGAAAAAGATATATAATATATATGTTTTAAATAATAGCTCAAAAGAAAACCTAATGTACACGCAGCATTATTGCTCGTATTTAAAAATGTGATTTTTTTATACACATTAAACTTTCCACGCCTTGCTTTGTCTCTTCGAATTACATGTAGAATATTATCATTTAAAATTGTTTATCAGAAACGATTTCTGTATAATTAAATAATATAATATTGGCAATAAATAATAAATAGTATTCCATCATACAATTTTCAATCTGCGAAAAATTATAAAAAAGAAATAACTCGGTGCTTTTAGAAAAATCATCTACATATATCGAGGTCCTAAATGTGTAGATGTTTAAATATTGATTTATTTTATTCGTATCAAATAATCCGTTGATATTTTTGCAGTTATTACAAATTTTGAATATAAATAGATACAGAGATGTGCTTATAGTATATATTAATGCAATAATACACATAGATTTCCAAAACACGAAGTTGAACACTAAAATGTTGGAACATTTAAGTTTTATTTTTCTTTTTCACAATTATACTTAAAGTGTGTGATCAAACATTGCATTATACATTCTGTAATGCATATATTGTTATATATATATATATATATATATATATATATATATATATATATATATATAATTGTATTTTCTATATAATATTATTTTAAATATTCACAAAAATGTAAATCAGTACTGTTTCATTATTGATTAATTGTCCTATTTATTTCTATAATCTCAACACTTATTCCACAGTCATATTCTCTTTAATACTTAATTAATAAACATATTCTTTTATTATTTTATAATACTTTATCATTGTAACAATACATTTCTATTACTAATATCCATTCTGTCGCTATCAGTTTTAATTATATTCAGAAATGCAAAATCAAATATCTATATAGTACGTTAGTTATTTTATAGTATAGACATAGATTTATAAAAAGCGAAATTCGCAATAATAAATTAATACTATAAAATTTAGTAAACGTTAGAGAGAAAAAGAGAGTTCTCTATATATAATTGGATCACTTTAAATATTTATGTATAATTTAATGTTCTATGTTAAATTTTGTTTTGTATAACAAAAGCTTATACAATACTATTTTATATTTAAAATTATATTAAATTTATCTAGGAGCATATTAATAATACAATCATCACACAATTATAAATTCACAACATAAAAATGTGTATAAGAACCGGAAATTCTTTGAATATGAGGTAAGTATTGTTGACTCCAAAGAGTAATATTTTCTATGAAATGTTGTACTAATAATTAAATGACATTAAATCGTTGCAATTTTTCTAAAAGTAGTAAATATGACAAATATAAAATATGATGATATATAAAATTAAATTATGAATATATAAAATTAAATATAATGTAGTATGTAACTTTGTCTTCAAATCAAAGTATATATCATATATGTCTTTAAATGATATTGTTTTCTTCATGTTTTCGATGAATTTATATGAAAGAATTATTTTTTATGATTACAGTCTTTGATGCTTATAAATTATATAACTATATTATTATATATAATATTATCGTTTATACTTTTTTTGTACAAATTGATAATCTATTAAATATATTATTAAAACCAGTACACTATTGAAGAAGCATCTATGATTATTAAGTTCATACACTACAAAATGTTTGTTGCAAGCTTAATCACTCAAAGTTTGAATACACAAAAACATTGCAGTGTATTATTTTTAATCATTAGTCAATATCGTTGCGCGATTTAATCATAGTGCTTTATCACAGCATACTAACAATCATATTTATTCTTTGAATCTAAATGTGTTTTGTGTAAGACTTGTTCATGCTATTAGAAAATAGCAATGTGTTATTACAACTTATAGTAACAGCCAAAATTTATAAAAGATATGTGCAATGGTAGAAATAAAAAATTCTAATAGTGACAAGATTATATAAAAAATTTATAAATTACACGTCTGCTAAAATCCAAGAATATAATGGCCGCAACTGATGATTAAGTACTTTATACTCTAGATTACTAAGCCCGTCAGTATCATATCTTCGTGCACCGTTTTCCAAATTTGCGAATCTTGCAGTACTGGGAGATTCTTTCTTATGTATTAACATGTAATACTGCGCCACATCAGGTCCAAAACGTGTAATCTGTATGAAACAAAATCAGAATCTAAATAACTTTGATTACATAGCACACATTATCATGATTATATGCTGTATTATATTAACCAAACCTGAAAACCTCTGGACTGTAAGCGACTGTAGAAGTCATCATCTTCTCCACCCCAGCCATAGAAAACATTGGAAAAACCATTCACTCTTTCAAATTGCTTCCTCGTTAATGCTATCGCACCTCCAAACAGGCCAGTATAAGGTAGATTGTATCGAAAGGTATTTACACTAGAACTCATATGCCTGGGCATTTTCGTGCACGCGTAAATATTGTTAGGATTCTGCGGTATCAAGTCTATGTCTTGAAAGATAAAACAATGAAAATCATTGATCTTGGTGGCCTCTGCATAGCCGACGTTGAAGAGCTTGGCACGATTAAACTCACGCATCGGACCCTGCTCGATAACAAATATTCGATAATCCAAATTCTGCGCTTGCAAGAACGGATGTATGTAATTCATGAAAATGGCAAGCTGATTCTGCCGGTTGCGGTAGGGTAGTATGATGGCCACGTTGAAGAGAGGATGACAATTAAGAGGTTTCCACTGGCCACCCGGTAAGATGCCGAGTCGTCGAGCCATCGCCACCGGATCTTCCCTGGGATGCTCCTCCGGGTAGAGCAATTGAGAAGGTCGTCTACCGTTGACGGAAATCACGCAGGAGTTATCCCTTGGCGGATACGATTTCTCCATCTCGTCATAGATATTCTCAGTCTTGATGAAGGTGTAATGGGATGCGAATCGTGCTGGATGAAGGCAGTAACATAGCACAAGTATCGTCGTCACGGTGTAAGACAGTCCGCGCGCATAATCATAAAAAAAAGCGACGAGCATCTTGAAAATATTCATGAAGGTCCTCATCCTTCTAACCTATATTTGATCACCGCTAGACATACCAATCGAGATAAACAGTTTTGAGGAAAACACGTTAGATAGACGTCGTCGTGTCTTCCAATTTTCGTACGAGCATATTGGTGTCTGAGATCGACAACGCAAATACAAAAGAAAAGTTTGTAAAATTTCGAAAAACTTATGCTCGGAAGAATTGACAGGCAAGCTGCAGACGACAAGACGACAAGCAGACGAACAACATCCGTTAACATCCGTCAATACGCATGCGTGAATAGTCAAGTTGCAAGTTAAACATGTAATTTATAACGGCAATCTAAACTTTTTAATTAAATTAAAAATAAAAGTATAAATAAATTTTGATAATGCTTGATAATAATCAGTAAGAAGCGATACAACAGCGATAAGGACAACTTAACACTGTAAAAATTTAGTTTCAAACTTTCTTGGAGGTTATATATTGTAAGCATTTTTTTTTAAATAAAATGATGAGACTCTTATAACTCATAATAAACTAATATTAATTATTGTATGCAAATTATAAATTTAATAGTTAAAACTCTATACATATTATAAATTTTAATATTGTTTCTTTAGAAGATATAATGTATAAATTCTACAAATTTAATAATTTTGACAAAGGAAGGTACACAGATTGTGAATCATTAATTAACATTTATTTAAAACCTCTGTTAACTGTTAACTTTGATATATGCTACGATTTATAAATAGCTCATATATATTTATGCTATATTAATTGTATATTATATAATTTTCAAGTGTGTTAAAACGGCATTAAAATAAACAGAGCTATGCAATTGTATAAATAAATATTTGTATACAATACAGATAAATTCTGTTTGTACGACAATGATCATTTGTATTTTAATATTATGTACATTTGTCAATGAACTAAGATAACATGCGGCGCTTCCTCTTGTTTATTCTCCACTTTTGGTACATTTAAATGGTGGAAAACCTCCAATATGTCTTGCATGAACTTATCCATCATAGTTTGAGTGTGTTTCGGTGTCGGTGCCAATCTCAATTTCTCTTTGCCCTTCGGAACTGTAGGATAATTTATAGCTTGTACATAGTGCCCTTTGTCTTTTAATAAATGGTCCGCAATCTGACTGCATAACAGTGGATCTCCTATCTAAAAATACATAATTTATATAATGCTATTAATATTGTAATGTAATTTGTACTCTGTAATTAGTGAAATCACTCAGTTTCAGCTTACCTTTATCGGAATGATATGAGAAGGCGATGGTTCCAACGGAAGACCGGCGGCAGTAAGAATAGATTTCATATAGGCCACGTTTTTCTGGTGATTCGCCCTCAGTGACCTGCCTTCGTCCGATGCCAAAATGTTGACGGATGTCAAGGCTCCGTATAGCACAGTGGGTGGCAGCGAAGTGGTAAAAATAAAACCAGCAGCATAACTTCTTATCATGTCTATCAGTTGCGCAGAACCGACGATGTAACCGCCTACGTTGCCAAAGGCCTTTCCCAAGGTACCAGAAATAATGTCCATCTTGTGGAGAACGTACTCCCTCTCGCCAATACCAGCGCCAGAGTACCCATACAAACCGACGGCGTGGACCTCGTCGACAAATGTTATCGCGCCGTATTTATGCGCAACGTCGCATAGATCTTCCAAAGGACAAATATCACCGGTCATGGAATGCACCGTCTCAAATGCCACAATCTTTGGCACACTTCTGTCCACTTTCGACAGAAGCTCCTCTAAATGCTCCACGTCATTGTGCCGGAATATATGCTTTGGCACGCTGCTGTTTCTTATGCCCTGTATCATGGAGGCGTGATTCCCAGCATCGGAAAATACATGACAACCCGGTAGGATTTTGGCTAGTGTGAATAAAGTGGAATCATTGGCAACGAAGCAGGAAGTGAAGAGCAAACCAGCATCTTTCTGATGCAGCACCGCCAATCGTTTCTCCAACATTTCGTGACCCATAGAATTACCCGAGATGTTTCTCGTGCCTCCAGCTCCGGCGCCAAATTTATCCAAAGCCTCGCGGACCGCTTTGGTCACCTCAGGATGACGCGACATTCCAAGGTAATCGTTGGAGCACCATACAGTGATGGGCTTCTCGCCCCATGAATACTCCATAGCCGCTGGAAAATTTTCAGCCAGACGGTTTACTTTCTTAAACACTCTGTATGAATGATCTTTCTTCTTCCGCATAATTTGCTCGTGGAAAAATTCCTCGTAGGGGAAATGTAGTTCCTCCTTTTGCTCACTTCCTTCCTTTTTCTCTTTTCCTGTGCGCAGCGCAGTATCTAGACTGATGACATCTTCCTCCACTGCTGAGCTAGCTTCCTTAACGGCATCTCGTTCCTTCGACAAGAAGGGACATTGATTTTGCACAGGCTCCGGAATTGACTGAGACACTTCCGATTCTGTCATCGTACTGAATAATCTTGACATTACTGGACAATGTTGCCGATAGTTCATTATTAGAGATGATCCATGGTTGCGAACATAATTCGTAGATAAACGGGTCAAGAATGGGCACGGCATGGTTCTTGGAAGACCTGAAAATACATTGATTTATGTAATACATTCAATTGGAAAAGTGGAAAATAATTATAGAATGTATCACGTTCAAAATATAATATATATAATATATATTCTGAAAATATCTCAGCAGTGTTTTTCGAAGATGAATATACTTGTTAAAAAAAAGAAATTAAATCTTACACAATATATAAAATAAATCCACAGTGGTATACCATATGTGTATAGATACATGAAATTGATAATATAGCGATAGTGATTTAAAAATTATGTCAATTCAGTGAACCGTGACTGTTCATGCCAGAATAGACAATCTCTCAGAAGAGTTGCATAATTTGCAGAGAAAATAAACGAGGAAACAATGACGTTAGGTAACGACAAGTATCATGTTCTTGAACGCGAGAATTGGACTCAAAAAAATGGCAGTCATCGTCGGCCACGTACCAAATGGAGAAGATGAGGAAAAAGAGAAAGTGACAGAGAGAGAACGCAATGCGTGACGCAGCGTCTAATGCGTTCGTGCCTCGAGGTAGAATACATTACCTTTTGTGGCGTTGACGATATAACTGTTGCTGATTTTGCAGATACCGCGTTGGGCGTAGTGTCGAATCAGCTGAAAATAGAAAGGCAGACTAAAGCTAAACACTGCTCTAGCAAGTTCGTGGTTGAGACGGATAGGACGGAAGATCCGAATAAGAAAATTCACAATGAGTTATGCGTGTGAAAGCGGAAAGGATATAACCCCGTACAACCACACGATTCGCAAGCAGGTTTGCTACTGACCACTTGACTGGCTGCTACCTGATAGCTACGGCTGCGCATGCACACAGGTATACATATATGTATGTATTAGCATATGTAAAAATGTCGAATCGATTTGAGAGAACGATTTTACAAAAGATAATAGTATAATATCGAATGCAAAAAATAATCGATAATATTTGTCATTCTTTATCGAACATATGACCGGGTTTTGTCATTGACTGATAATTATATGCGTACTTGTGACTAGGCAATACTAAGGTTTTATATTTGCGTAATTTATTCTACTTGTGTTACGTTGTTTACACAGTTTCTTGCATTGACTTTGAAAAACGTACGACATTTGTATAAAACTTTTCTGTCGACCGTAAAAATTCTACGAGGAAATTTTTATTAACAAAAGGATGCATTTAAGTAGCAATCGTTACAAGATTAGGACTTGATCTGGAAGATTTATTTTACTCTAATCTTTTATCTAAATTTTAAGAATCGCTAATATCAATTAATTTTAATTATATAGGCTAATCAAATTTCTTTTTTTATCTGTAATTATAGTGTAATTAATATTATGTTGCAGGCATCAAGAATGTATCTATCAATCAAACTATATTTTGCTTGAGCAATTGATTTTTTGATCGATGGATCAAATATTTGTTGAGAAGTTATCATTTGGCTACTGCATGCATAATATTAATAAAATAATAATATATTAGCGCTAAAACTTAAAATTTGAATCAATATTGCAATGGCCATGATACTTACCATACTTATTAACAGAAGATAAATTTGCGTATGAGTCGTTGATGATTGGTTTTTCCTTCGATTTGCGCTGGTAAGATTTTTTCAATTAGTTACTATTTTATTAGTTACTATTTAATTCTGGTTAATTAATCGATTAAAAAAAATTACCGTAGCTTTGATAGAAGAGAGAATCGAACAGGTGAACAGTTTGCGTGACACTACTTTGCCACCGACGAGTTGTCGCGAGTAAACCAACTTGTCAGACGATCCGAAGTTTAATGAGAGAGTGCGCAAAACGTCACTGCTTTTCCTCGTTTTTGCGATCTCATCATCATGACCAGTACGACCAGCCAATCGCGACTCGTAGTTAATACAAATCATGTTTCGTTTTTATAATAACCACGCATAATAAAGTGATGTAAGTGGTGTTTAGTCTTATAATATTTGAATCGTAAAGTGGATATTTTGTTTAAATTTCGACAATCATAACTATACAGAATTCTTTACAAACAAAATTTTTAGAATTAAAAAAAAACATTTTGATACTTTAGAAGTGTGTATATATGTAATATATTTATTAATACATCTTTAGAGATTGTACCGTTATCACACTGACTCAAAATGTGCGATAACCAGACTTAAATAAAAGTTTTTATATTCAAATTGTTTTATTTGAGTCTGATTATCGCAAGTTTTGAATCAGTATGACGAAATAATGATACAGTCTCTAAAGATGTATTAACAAATATATATCCTAACAAAAATATAATCCTAACAAATTTAACATCACAAATTCTT